CACTGTTTCTTTCAAATTCATGGCTTCTCTTTTTTACCCGTGTGTGTTCCCAAATACGTGAGTGTGGTGTGTTGAGTCTGGGTGTTACTTGTATAGATATCGAGGGCTGACAGCTCGGCATTGAGTAGCCGGTCGGCGTGCTCTTTCCTGGGGACACTAGTTCTCCCTCTCAACAGTCCTTGGTTGTCCTAGGTGAGCTCTCCTCTGTCACATTAGAATGTCTGTTGCTATTGTTCTTCCGATCATGGTTAGGTAGCCAGGTTGCTTAGACTTCATGAGTCTGACGTTTTTAGGAGACACAGTTTTGTAGTAAACTCCCTGTTCTGAGTTATACAATCTTTCTGTCTCTCTCCTCTTTTGAAGTACCCTGAGTGTAAATTTTACTTTACAAGTTAACACCAGTAAACCAAGTGCTGATTTTGCAGTGATTGATTTTAAATATTGGTTCTTGTTCTCTTAAAAGCATACTAAGATAGACTATATATGTATGTGTAGTTTCAGAGTCAGGATCTCATTGTAGCCCAGGCTGGCCTGGTACTCTCTGTGTAGTTGAGGCTGACCTTGAACTCCAGGTCCTTTGGCTCTACCTCCCCCAGTGCTGGGATTACAGGCACCTCACACCCAGATTTTTATTTATTTTTAAAAGATTTAATTTTTAGGAAGCCCTACTTTAGATAAATGTTAATTTTCAATTTTAAATTTGTGAAAATTGAGAAATGGTGATGTTTGTATGTTATAAAGGGTTGTGGGGACCTTGTTGGGGAAGTATCCACAGGGAAGAGAAGGGTGACCTATTACTATTCCTAATGATGTTTATATGTATGACCCTTAATACAGTTCCTCATATTGTACTGATTCCATAAAATAATTTTTGTTGCTATTTCATAACTGTGATTTTGGTACTATTATGAATCTCAATGTAAATATCTGTGTTTCTGATGGTCTTAGACGGTCCTTGTGAAAGGGTCGTTTGACCCCCACAGGGGTAGTGGCCCACAGCTTGAGAGCTACTGATCTAAAGAATGTTGGGAAACTGGGCACAATAGTTGTAGATTTAAACAGGAAAACAGCAGAATAATTTCAATGTCTTCCATATGGAATAATTCCCAGGATTTGGACTAGGATGGCAGGTTAAATGGCAAAAATGAATAATGAAAATTAAGATACAGGAGGAATGTATTGTAGGGAGGAAGGGGAAGAGAGGTTTGTGTTGGTTGTGATGGCGTAGCCTGTAGTTTCAGCACTAGGAGGATGAAGCAGGAAGGTCCGTACACAGTGAGACGATGAAGGCTCATCACTGATTTCATGAGAGGGAGGCCGTCTTGCTTCAGTTTCCCAAGTGCTGACATCAGAAGGATAATGCACTCATCAAGTGCCTGACTCACAAGCCTTTTGTTCATCTTTTAAAAAGTAACATTTTTGCCTTTGAAGGGCAGAGCTCTTTTATAGATGCTATCCCAGGAGCAACAGTCAGTGTGTTCTGAGACTCCTCTTTATTTATTTTTTATAACTTTTCAATGATTTATTTTTATTTTATGTGCATTTGTGTTTTGTTACCATGTGTGTCTATTAGGGTATTAGATCTGGAGTTACAGACATTTGTGGGCTGCCATGTGGGTACTGGGAGTTAAACCCAGGTCCTCTGGAAGAGCAGACATCTCTCCAGCCCCACCCCTTTTTATTTATTGTTGCAGTTAATAAAAATATTTTTTTTCAGACAGACATAATTTTCATTCTTTTTTATTGTAATTTCATTCTGATAGCTTAATCTAGATGTCTGCATAACTTCCAAAAGTCTGTCTGTATTGTTGTTACAAAATTTACTAAACTGTTGGTTGGTTTCTTGATTTCTTCATCTCATTTGCCAATATAACAGTTTCTATAGGAAGTCAGTCATAAACGACTATTTCCATTTAAAGTATTTCATTGGCAGTGCTAGAAAGATAACCCAGTGGTGAAAAACAATCGCTGCTTTTGCAGGGTTCCCTGGTTTGGTTCCCAGCACCAACATGGACGCTCACAGCCATCTCCATTTCTAGGGGATCTGAGGCCCTTTTCTGACCTTTGTGGGTACCAGTACACAACATACATTCAGGGAAACACTCATACACATAAAATAAATTTTAAAATAAAAATACTTTGCTAGTACTGTAATTACTAGCTGCTTAAAATGAGACATTTGGTCTAAATAATGTATTTCTGTTGAATTTTAAGTGCATGGGTAGTTTCCTACTCTGTCAGCATTATGAGGGAAACAAAGATGGTGAATTCCAAATACGGTTTTAGTGTTTGCTTTTTACAAGTTATTAATTGAACTGTGTACATAGTCAAGTGATACTCCGCAGATTATACTGCAGGGTCAGCCATGGTGTTCTTTTGCCTTAGTCCTTCTGCCAAGAGCTTGGAACTTCCCTGAGGTTTTTAAATTTATCAATTAAAGTCATTATCTGATCATTTCAAGTTAGGGAGACAGAAATTTAAAGCTAAACACTCTCCATTACAGTCATTCTTAGTATAACAGAGCTTTGGTTTAAGTTAGTAATGTCAACAGTGGATTTTAGCTTTTGTTTATTTTTGAGACTGTTTCTCATGTAGCTCCCAGTGGCTTTGAACTTGCTATGTAGGTGAGAATGCACTTGAACTTTTGTTCTTCCTGCCTCTCCTTCCTGAGTGCAAGTGTGTGCCGATACTCTGGGCTTATGTGCTGTTAGGGAAGTACTCTGATAACTGAATTAAGATGTCCCTATTTACTATTTATGTCTGTTTGTTTTTTTGGTTTTGGTAGATTAGGTCTTAAATAGTCTTGACTATGTTGCTGATAGTGATCTTGAACTTTGATTCTGTTGCCTCAGGGCTGCTTTATATCCCCCCCGCCCTGCTCCCTTTCCTCCTCCCACTACAGGGTTTCTTTGTGTAACAGAGCCCTGGCTGTTAGGTAGACCAGGCTGGCCTCGAACTTACTGAGACCCACCTGCCTCTGCATCTTGAGTGCTGGGAATCAAAGGTGTATGCCACCACCTTTTTCAAAAGGTACATTTATTGTTATTTGATGTAAATGGGTGTTTGCCTGCCTGTATGTCTGTGAACCACATGCATGAAGTGCCTGAGGAGTTCTGAAGAGAACATGAGATTCCCTGGAAGTGGAGTTAAAGACAGATGTTAGATGCCTTATGGATGCAGGGAACTGAACCCAGGTCGTCCATAACAACAGAGCTCGTAACCACCAAAGGTCTTTGCAGCCTCTTATATTGTTTTGGAATAGTAACATTTATTTCTTCTTGAAAGCTGTTTTAGATTTATTTATGTATGTGATGTATATGTGCCACATTTGTACCTGGTGCACGAGGAGGTCAGGAGAAGGCTGATGTATCAGAGTTACTGACAGCTGTGAGCCACTATGTGCTGTAAAAAGCATCCATTTCTTAAACCAGGGTCTCATGCAAGAGCAACAAGTGCTTTAACTTCTGAGCTATCGCTACACCCTCATAACATTTTATTTTTAATAAATTTTTATGATTTATATGTCTTCTAAACTTTGTAGAAAAACTATTAGCGTCTTTTAAGTTTTTCTCATGTGGTCCGATGTGCAGAGTGATAGTGTTGGATATTACAGTCATATCCATATGTTTTATAGTATAGTAAGTCACCAGTAACTTCCCATAATCAGAGTCAAGTGACACGTGGTGGCTCTTGTTTGTAAACCCAGCACTTGGGAGATAAAAGTTCAAGACCAGCCTTAAGACTCTAAAACAAAAAAAAAAAATCTCATAAAACTTAAAAACTTGGCAGCATAAGTTCAGGTTTAGAGGTTCTTGTTCCTTCAAAGCTATTTTTTTCCTCTCTCCCCTTTCCTCTCTCTCTCTTTCTCTCTCTCTGGTTTTTCAAGACAGGGTTTCTCTATGTAGCCCTGGCTGTCCTGGACTTGCTTTGTGGACCAGGCTGGCCTAGAACTCAAAAAAATTTGCCTGCCTCTGTCTCTCTCTATTGCTGGGATTAAAGGTGTGTGCTACCACACCCGGCTCCAAAGCTTAATTTATAAAAACAGCCGTTACTTATTTTAGTGTGTGTAAGCATGTGTTCACACATGCATGGATATTTTGTGATGTACCTGTTGAGGTCAGAGCACAGCTTGTAGGAATGGGTTCTCTTCTCCACTGTGTGCGTCTCTAGAATCAGACTCAGGTAATCAGACTTAGCCACAAAGCACTTTTATGAAAGTCTTGAGCCATCTCACCTGCTCCTTCAAAGCCTCTTGTTAGCCTGTCTGAACTTCCTACCTAGGCTTGTAAAACTCTGCCATCAGAGACATTTGCATCCCAGTGCTTTGAGTTGTAATGTCACTCTACAGGCTGACACCACCTTGAGTTTTCCATATAACATATTCTTGTGAGGAAAAGTTGCTGCTGGTTTTACTCTTTCTTTTTGGAAGTGTGTTCAGCTGATTTTCTTTAAGAAGCATCCATTTCTTAGTAATTTGGTTCTCTGGGTCTCTGGGATTTTTAAATCTTTCATGTTCTTTAGGGTATCTTCGACTTTTTTGGCTTTAAAAATGTTAACAATTTTAAAACTGTAAATACTGAATTATGATGGCCACTTGATGCATTGTGACCCAAACTGAATTTTAGCATTGGTTAAACATCAGCTTTCAAATCTGCTGTTCCTAACAAGCTACGGAGCATGTCTTAGTCACTGTTTTCTACTTGCCCGTATTACCCGCTGTTACTTATTATTTCTTTTATGGGTAGAAACTGCTGCAGGTAAAACATGCAGGGTTCCTTTCTGCCCTTCCTTCTTGGACTTTTCCCTTTTGATCTGTGCTGGCGTCATTCTGCAAATGCTGATAGTTTAGTTCTCAAAATATCATAAAACTAAACATTGGAGAATTATAACAATAATTTCTGCCTGTCTGTAGGGATATGATTTTCATTAAAAAATACTTTTGTAAAGAAAACAAAGAGCATATTATGCAAATGTAAAGACAACGTGAATTTGCCTTTCAGTGCAATGCGTGTTTTACTCTCAAAATTACCAAGACCATGGATTGTGGATGAGAAGAAAGATGATGGTTATACTGCCTTGCACCTGGCTGCCCTGAATAATCATGTGGAAGTGGCTGAGTTGTTGGTACATCAGGTATGAGAGACAATTATGTTTTAACAAACTTGGAACATTCTTATTTCAGAACATAATTTATTTCACTAAACAGATATTAATAGGCCACAGTAATTACTCCATGATGATGAAAAAGAACTTAATGTATTCTCTGCTTTTTAACACTGATTATTTTTGTTTGTTTGCATGAAACAGTCTTGCTATATAGCCCCAGCTTAGCTAAAACTCAGTATCCTGCCTCAACCTCCTGAGTGCTAGGATTGAAGGTCTGCACTGCTCTTCTTGGCTAGCACTGACTGTTTACCCCTACACCTTCTTTGTGTTTAGAGGTCAAAAAACAGTGCTCAAGAAATGATTTCAGCCTTCTATCATGGAGACGTTGACAGCCAACACAGGACTTGAATGCATCTTGCATTCAGCCTCTCTCTAACACTGCCTCATAATCTGTCCAGTATTCACATTTAAATAGGCGTAAGAGGATGAGCTGAGAATCAGGAACCCCATGACCAGTCAGAGAAACATAAATAAACTTAATAAAAGCAAACCAGAAGCTGGGTGCAGTGGTGTACTCCTGTAATCCCAGCACTTGAGGAGGCAGAGGCAGGCACATCTTTGTGAGTTTGAGGCCAGCCTGATCTACAAAGCGAGTCCAGTACAGCCAAGGCTACACAGAGAAACCCTGTCTTGAAGGGGCCGGGAGATGCAAACCAAAAAGGTCTGTCTTCCAGAGTGTAGCATAACTTGCTGGAGTTTCAGCTCTGGCCAGCAGTCCAAGCAAGAGCACAGGTTACTGCCAGCGTTGTGATTAGACTGATTTAACCTAGCTTTGACTCTGTTCTTAATTTTGATTTGTTATGACAGGCATTGTGCTAAACAAATTTTTGTGCTACGTTTCTTAATCTTTACATAAGCCCTGTGAAATAGGTTAGACTGTGGCACCTTTTTGGAACTGATTAAAGGGCTAAATGATGAAATACTTTGAAAAGTTTACATGGTTTATGAGTGGCAGAGCTTAAGACAAAGTGCCTTGATTAATTTTGTCCTTAGCCTTTTTCCCTCTTGTGTGGTGTCAGCTGTTTTCAGAGTCATTAGCTAGCTCATTGTTCTCCTGTGAGCTGCATGGCACTTCCAGATCTACCTTTACTGACTTCATGGCCACTTGGATCACCTTCTCACTTGTTTTCACTAAGTGAGAGAGTGCTGTGTTAGCAACAAAAGGAAGTGAACGTAAGTCACTCTGAATCTGGATGGAGACCCAGTTGATTTTCAGAGGCATTTATGGTGTATAGGACTTGCTCTCAGGGGTATTGAAAGGGTAGTGCCAGCTCCTTACTGCACTTCGTCCCTGAGCGGGTTTAGGTAGTTACTGTAAAGGAAACACTTTTACATTAACTGTTGGACCTGTAAGTTTACTGTTTGTCCAGTTTTCAGTATGTGTATTGAGAGCTGTGTCAGAGCAGCTTCCAAGAAGGAAACAGTGGTCAACAGAGCTCTGTATTTCTTATAAATAACTAGCAGTTTGCGTGTTCTTCACTGTTGTCAAGAGGTGACCGTGTAACATGCCTGCATTGTTAGGGAAATGCGAACCTGGATATCCAGAACGTGAACCAGCAGACAGCCCTGCACCTTGCTGTTGAGCGGCAGCACACCCAGATTGTTAGGGTAGGTGTTTATTCTTGTTCCTATTAGCTTCTAATAGCTCTGTGACTGTACTGCACTTGAGATCCTTGTGAAAGTTCAAATGATACTTGTTGCATTTCTCAAAATGACATAGTCCAACTGATAACTTCATTTTGTGGGTAAGGAGTTAATGTTTAGTTCAAAGGTTTCATCATACTGTTCTCAAATTTCTGAATTCTCATAAATATTAAGTGAGAAAAATTTAAATTAACAATTACACCCCTCTTAATGTGTGTAGTTGATAGTAAAATAAAAGCATTGACTGGAAACTTTGTTACAAATTGGAAATTGAAGTGAATATTTTTTATTTACTAATCTAGTGATTTCTAACAAAATACCTGAAAAAGAATTGCTTTAAGTATTTTTATGGAGCAGTGATCTTAACAAGTTTGGAGACTGAAATAGCTGCCATAGTGTCACCTGGAAATGTGACAGGAAGGTTCGTTTTTGCACCCTGCCTCAGAGCAGCAGGCCTGGGGCCTGAGAGGGTCTTTTGTTAGTGCCTTGTCTCTTTGCTCTGACAACATACCTGAAAAGCAGCTTAAGGAAGGGTTTGTTTTGGCTCACAGTTTGAGATGATGCAGTCTTTTATGGTGGGGAAATCATGGCAGAAGGAATATGGGCAGTGGGTCATAGTGTCCCTGGCAGGAAGAAGAAAGAGTTGAATGCTGATGTTCAGTTCACTTTCTCCTTTTTCCAGACCATTGCCATGGGCCACACATAATCAGTCCTTCTCAGTTAAACCTCTCTAGAAACTTACTCAAAGACACACCCACTCAGAGGTGTGTGTCCTGGGTAGCTTCAAATCGAGATCAGTTGACAATGAAAATTAAACATCAAAAGTGGGTAAATTTGTGGTTTAGCAAGCCCTCCATGTAGTTCTGATACTTTCTAAGTTTGAAAAATATGTCCTAGAATTATATTTTATATAGGTTTTTAGAACAAAACAAGAGACAAAACAAGACAGAAGTATGATTTACCAAGACAAGACTGTACAGTGAGATTAGTTTCTTTTGATGCTTTTGTTTAGAACTCTTTGATGGTATTTTTAGAAAGGATTCAAGAAGAATGCTAAAACTCCATAAGGACAATGTAAAATAAACTTACAATTTACTGCACAAGTCACATAATGAGACAGTAAATAACTCATTTTGCCAAGTGATTGGGTTTTAGCAAACACTGTTTGCATTTATTGTTGTTTGAAATTCCAGTTGCGTCTGGCATGTTCACGGTACTTGTAGCCAGGCTGCAGTTTCTTGTAGGTGTGGGTGCTATCCAAGTGCAGCGTCTTTTCTTTCTCACAGCTCTTGGTCCGTGCGGGTGCTAAGCTGGACATTCAGGATAAGGATGGAGATACTCCTCTCCATGAAGCTTTGCGGCATCATACTTTGTCTCAGCTACGCCAGCTTCAAGACATGCAGGACGTGGGCAAGGTAGACGCTGCCTGGGAGCCGTCAAAAAACACAGTGAGTGAAGATTGTGTCCCCTCCCAGTGGAAGCATGTTTTATATTTACTGCTTATCTGATTTGCTTTGGATAAAACATTTTATCAGCAATGTACTTAGGTTCATAAGATTTTAATACTACTACTGGCCACTATGAAGTGCATTTATTTGTTCTGTAGTTTATCAAAAGTTGTTTAGGTCTTTATAGCTGCAGCAATAATGTGGTGGGGTGTTTGTTGTGGTTTTAGTTTGTTATCCTAATGCCCTTTCATTTTGACCAGCTTTTCACTTGATCAACATGTATTTGATGAGCTATTTGCTGAAATCTTTATCATTAAAATTTTTGAACTCTTGTTTTTTTTTTTTTTTTTTTCTTTTGGTTTTATTTTTTGAGGTGTTATGGATGATTCCAAGGCCTCATGCATACCAGGCAAGCACTCTCCCACTTCTCAGGTCTCTTGTTTTCTTCTGATTATTTCAGTAATTGCTTATATATTATGAAAACAAGGTGACATCAAGGACGTGCTATATACATCTTTTCGCCTGCAGTGTGGCTTGTGTCGCCACTGCTGCTGCTCACCTTTCTTCTTTTGGGGGTAATAGTGGAAGATAATAAATGATACTACAGTGCTTTTTTTTATAGGAATGAGCATAACTTACTGTGCAATGTTTTTGTATGGAAATGATAGATTAGAACACTTAAGTGATTTTTTTTTTTTCAAGAATTAATGTATGTAAAGACAAGCATACTAGCTCATGACTGTAATCCTCCACTTAGGAAGCTAAGGCAGAATGAGTTCCAGGCCAGCCTAGTCTAGAGCGAGACCCTATCTCAAACACAACAAAAGCTTCTCTGTATAATTACGTATCCGATAGTTTCCAGGTACTGGAGAAATGCTGCATCCTCCAGGTAGAGATTAAAGTCAGAAGTGCAGCTATTCCAGTCGTGTGTGTAGTGGTCGGTGGGGTGCACCTGTGCCTTCTGTCTTCCCAAGTAGAGGAGGGAGGTCCAAAACGGATATTGGATCCTTTTTACCTTCTCCAGAAATTGGTTTTCATACTTAGAAAGCCGTAAGAGATTGCGGCTCCTTTGGATCTAGTGTTTCTCCCAAGATGTTTCTCTAAATTCAGATGGGCCTGGAAGTATAAAATCAGTCTGGTGATGTCCTTGTCAGTAGTGCTCTCGGATGGCAAGCAGTGAGTTGTGCTGCACATGCGTGTTTCTTTCCCTTCTTTTGACTGTGCTGTTTTGTGATAAAGCCTCAGTGTCTTGCCCAGTTGTCTATCCTTCTGCCTTGACCCTTGAGTGGCTGGGATTACAAGTGTGAGCCACCATGCCCAATTTTTGACAGTGTTCTTAAAAGAACAGTGTCTTAATGTTGAGGAAATATACTTTTTTATATTATTATTATGGAGGCTTTATATGTCCTAATAAATCTGGTAAAATGAAGGTCGCTCAGACATCTTGCTATAGAAGCTTATAAAGTTGAGCTGTTGCATTTAAGGTCAAGAGAACTTTTATAAAGAGAATGGCACAGACTGAAGTTCATTTGTCACTGATAAGTGGCCAGCTGTCCCTGCACCATTTGTTGAGTAGTGTCTTTTTCTACTTGAGTGCCTTTATCCAAGATCAGTTAGCTGTCTATTTGAAGGTTTCCTTTTACATACTTCATCTTGTTCTTTTACTCCATGGTCTTAGCTATGGGATGCCTTCTCAAGTGTCTTGTAGCTTGGGATTCAACATTTGCTCATGTTGAAATCAGCCAATGGAAGTCCTCAAAAATTTTTAATTGTTTGGCTATTTTAAGCCTTTATACTTCTAAATTAATTTTATTATCATTTTAAATCTGAGGCCAAAATGTTTGTGAATTGTTATGTTGTATGACTCTGGGTTTATATTCTTAACTCCTTTGTCTCTTCTTTTCTTTCTTTCTTTTTTTTTTTTTTTTTCTTCTCCCTGAGAGGGTTTCTCTGCAAAATAGCCCAAGCTGTCCTGGATTCACTTTGTAGACCAGGCTGGCCTTGAACTCATAGAGATCTGTCTTCTGCCTCTTCTTCCCTGAGTGGTAGGTTTATAGGCATGTACCACCATGCCTGGCTGCTTTTTTTTTTTTAATTTTAAAGTTGAGAGGTGCACAACTCCATAGGTTGCTGTGTAAGATCATAAATGTACTTAAAACAGTACATGGCGCATTGGGATGCTCAGTGAGTCTTGATAGTTATTTTAACAATTACTGATGTATTTGGATCCATAGCTCAGGTGTCAGATCCTGATTCTTCTCATTCTTTAAGTTTTGGTTTGATTCAGAAGCATTGAGAGGTAGTTGGGAGCAGCACCAGAGCTAAAGTGCGTATAAACAAAAATGCTGTTTCTTCTTAACTGGAAATTGCACTTGAGTTCTTCAGCCTTAACTGATCTGACTTTGGTTCTGTGTCTGGCTCTGAATCAGTCATGTAGTAGGCAGGCCTCCAGCTGGGTTTAACCACTTTCGGTCCACTTGTACCCTGGAGAGTCAGTTCTCGAATGCGGGAAATCAAGGGGAATTGGATTGGGGAGAGAAGAGTCTGTAAGGACTGACACGCGTAAATGTCCCAACACACACATATTTATTGGTGCTGATGCTTGAGGGAAGATTTCTGTATGGGGAAATCACAACCCTTTTCATTTGATTCCAGTTAATAATGGGACTTGGTACCCAGGGGGCTGAGAAGAAGAGTGCAGCATCAATTGCCTGTTTCTTGGCAGCCAATGGCGCTGACCTCAGCATTCGAAATAAGAAGGGCCAGTCACCACTCGACCTCTGTCCGGATCCAAGTCTCTGCAAAGCACTGGCAAAATGTCATAAGGAAAAAGTCAGGTATGTGTTTGTGTCGTCACGTAATTTCATACGTGCTGTGTTGCTGCCTGAGGGAGGACCTTGATACTTGCAGGGATCTTAGTCTTTGCCGTTTGTAGGCCTGTGGGCTGCCGCTTCCTTCCTGGGAAACATTTCCTCGGTGGAGATCTTACTTCATGTTATGTTCCCTACATTATGTATACTGCTTTGTACAAGATAAGCTTAAGAAACTTTTCTAAACTAGTTTGATTTTCTAGGAAATCGTGCATGCTTTGGGGACTTATAAGGAAAAGCCCTACTAGTGAAAATGCTCTGATTAATGTTATAACATTTTCCTGCGATGGGTAGTTTCCTCTGTATGAACAGAGTACATCTCTGTAATAATTCTAGCACCTTCCACCAAGACCTTGTAATCAGTTATTAGCAATAAAGGGTTAAAAGAATGAACAAATGAGCCAAACAGCTGATTATGGCATTTTCCAAAGATGATCATTTTACATATTTCTATTTTTCTCACATAAAGTTAAGTCAGTAATTGTAATTTAAACTTCTGGTATAAATATTATTTTACTGATATAGACATATCAGAAATACACATTTTTTTTTTTTATCCAGATAATGCTCTAAAAATATTGTTGACTTTTATACCTCTTACTACTGACTATATTGGTAGCTGTCTCTTTTGTATTTTCTCACTTCTCTTAAAATATATATGTAATAACCGGAAAATAACACCATTAGTCACATCCCTCAGGAGGCAGAGATGGGCAGATCTCTGTGAGTTTGAGGCCAGTCTAGCCTACAGAGCAAGTTGTCAGACATACAGGGGTACACACAGAGAAACTCTGTTGTGAAAAAAACAAAAATCCAAGAACAACAACAACAAAATATATGTAGGGGCTGGAGAGATGGTTCAGAGGTTAAGAGCACTGGCTGTTCTTCAGAGGTCCTGAGTTCAATTCCCAGCAACCACATGGTGGTTCACAACCATCTATAATGAGATCTGATGCCCTCTTCTGTCATGCAGATGGAACATAATAAATAAATCTTAAAAAAAAAAAGAAGAAGAAAACCAATAAAGTATATGTAATGATGAAATGGCGTTATTTTGGATTTTATGAACAGAACTTGATAGGTGAAAGTAAGATAATAAAAAGAGAGAGAGGGGGAGTGTGTGTAAAGAGAAAGAATCTGTTGAGAACATGTTTTAAAGATTTAATTATCTTAAGTTGGAGTTATGGGAGATTGCAAACCATCCGCTAGGGCTGGGCAATGAGCTTGGCTCCTGATAGAACAGTCCATCTCTTCACCGCTGAGACACTTCAGCTCTTTTACGGTTTTTTTGTTGGTTTGTTTTTTCATGTTTTTTCGAGACAGGTTGTCCTGGACTCTTTCTGTAGACCAAGCTAGCCTTGAACTCACAGCAGTCTGTCTGCCTCTGCCCCCCAAGTGCTGGGATTAAAGGCTTGTGCCACTTCACCTGCTCATTAGGTTAGTTTTTACTAGTGCTTTTAGGTCTTTTTAATTGTGTGTAAGTTTAATTTGTAGATTGACTGATATTAGAAGAATGTGAAGATGCAGAGGTTTGTAAATAGGAAACAGAGAACATTTAGCACCTTTTTGGTGCTTTTGAGCAGTAGAAATGTGAAATGAACAATTATAAATTTAAAAAAATAGAATAAAATAAAAGGTTTTATATAAATTTGTTAACATTTGATTTTTAATATAATCTATGTGTACTAATGATACTCTGGATGCTAAAAAAGTTAGCAAATTCGTTTAGAATATTCAGATGGGCTTGATTTGAAATACTTTGTTTTATTAGTGGCCAAGTGGGTTCTCGGAGTCCTTCTATGATTAGCAATGATTCTGAAACCTTAGAGGAGTGTATGGTGTGCTCAGACATGAAGAGAGACACTCTTTTTGGTCCATGTGGACACATTGCAACTTGTTCTTTGTGTTCTCCGCGTGTCAAGAAGTGCCTCATCTGTAAAGAACAGGTTCAGTCCAGGACAAAGGTAATGAACGTGCCTGCTGTGTGCTGTCATGAATGTGCTGCTTTGTTGTGTTGTGAGACCATAACTAATGCTCGGCTGTGTGACACTTACCTCACTGTGCCTTTACAGATAAGTTAAATACGGTATTACATAATGTACATGTTTAAAAGATCAGTTCAGGTTTCCTGAATTGACTTCTAGGGTAGTCTTACTGATATACCTTACCGCATTCATTATTATCAGAATTTAAAAACCATACATTTTAACTCGGAATGTTCTTAGTTCATTTCCTTTTTGCTATCTAAAGTATAGCACTTTAATTACTGTTTTTTTTTCTTTCAACTCCTTTTAGAACTTAAGATACATTGAATTCAACTTTGTATTACATACTATGGAGTTTCAATTCTGTGGAGAATTTTAAAACCCGACATATCTTACCAACTCAACAGGTCGGCCGTTAATAGCAGTTTTTCCACAAGGAAATAGTGACCTCTAGTGGTTAAAGGGGAATCAACAGTTTCATTAAAGAAAAAATTTAAAACTAGTATCTGGAGGAAAAGGGTGTTTTTAGATGAGTCTTCAGTAATTAGGGACATATGAATACATTAAAAATTAATACAGATTTTTTGTTGGATTAGGAATTATTTTTTTAAAGATTTATTTATTTATTTTATGTATATGAACACACTGTTTTCATGCACACCAGAAGAGGAAATCAGATTTCATTGCAGATGGTTGTGAGCCATCATGTGGTTGCTGGGAATTGAACTCAGAACCTCTGGAAGAGCAGTCAGTGCTCTTAACCACTAAGCCATTTCTTCAGCCCCGGATTAGGAATTATTTTAAGTGCTAAAAATGAAAATGGGAAGTGTTTACTTTGTTAACACTATTGGAGGCTGGGAGACCATCCTCTGCTCAGACTCACAAATGCTTTGATTCAGTTGTCCCTCTCATGAGAGTGTAACCTGAGGAAATAATTCAGAAGTGGAAATTTGTGCTTTTCTTTTAAATAGGAGGAAGGGTAGATAAAGTGATTGTTAGATGAATTTTCACTGTTATTTTAAATCCTTACAAGTAATATTAGATAACTTATTAGTATTGGTGGTAGTTTTTGAGCTCAAGAATATCAGAGATCAACCAGATTTTACTGCTAGTACGCCAGGCATGCAAATTCCATGTGTGCTGCGGCACAGGCTGGGAGAGCACGTGTACATGAGAGCTAGCAAGAGCGTGGTGTTTTAGTGTTGGTGTTATATGTGAGAGGTGGTCGTTTCTGGACAATAATAATGATGATAAAAGCTGGTTAAATGTGGCTTTGCTGGGGAGAGGTAGGCTGGAAGACATAGGCAGCTACAGGCAGTGGTGTGAGCTAGAGGGAAGTGGGAGCCGCAAGACATGGTAGCTGAGGTCATGAAGAATTTAGGCTTAGAATAAAGAAGACTGAGGATTTCGTGGTGGGAGAGGGTGAGGAATAATCTAATAGCTCTGGGTGCCAGTCCTGAAAGGAGAGCTTTCATGAAGAATCTCCTAGACGGAGGTAACACAGCCTCCCTTCCCCCTCTTGAACTTTTTAAGTTTGGCTGCTCTGGGTAGGATTTCGTTAGTCTTCTCACAGCCGTTTGTTTTAGAACTTATTTATCAAAATTTCCTTAACATTTCTGAAGAAAGGAAAAAAATAGCACTTAGCTCCTTGTCCCTGACCTCAGATGAAATGGAATCTTTGCCTGCAGCTCTTCCTGTCAAGTAGGGAGAGGAATGTAGAAGCAGTTCCTGCTAAGCTAGGTACCAAATCGTGTGAAAATGAGCAGCCAGGAGAGCAGAGGGCAGGGCCTTCTGTACAGGTGAAGTACATTGCAGAGCAGGCTGCTGGGCTTACACGATTTCTCTGCCATGTTCACTCTGCTTTTTCTTGCTGCAGATTGAAGAATGTGTGGTGTGCTCCGACAAGAAAGCGGCTGTTCTTTTTCAACCTTGTGGGCACATGTGTGCTTGTGAGAGTAAGTAGCTTATTGGTAACCTCCCCAGTGAGATAAAAATAGAAGAAGTAAAAGATGACATCTTTGATTTTTGTTTGTCTGTGGGATTACCCTATAGGTTATTGGATAACCTACAGAAAAGCCAAACAAATATTTAGTACCTTTTTGTGGGGGATTCAGACGACGCTTGAGGGAACTGGTTCTCCCCTTCCACCCTATAGGTGCCAGGGCTCAAACAGCTATCTTTACCCACTGAGTCATCTTACAGCTCCCCTGAACATTGGTGTTTTTGTTTTAATCCCCCTCCCCCAGTTCTGATAGACAGCTAGTAAAAGGTCAAGGAGTTTTGCTGCTGACAGTCTACCTCAAGTAACTGTCTATTTACCCAGGCCTGGTATAAAAAGGCTATCATCAGCTCTCAAAAGGACACATAGAAAGAAATTTTTTCTGTCTTAAGTAAACTTTTTGTAGACCAGAGGTTGGCAAACTTTTTTTTCTGTACAAGAACAAATATTCAGTGTTTCTGGCTTCGTAGGCCACACGACTGCTGTAGTAACTGCTCACCTCTCTCCAGCTACCCAGTGCTGCCGCTGTAGTTCAGAAATCAACCATGGCAGATGTGTAACTGTGCTCCAGTAAAAGCTCATTTACATGAACAGGCTTGGGACAGTGATTTGTTGCCCTCCTACCTACTGTAGACTAAAGTAATGTCTGTGTGAGACTTGAAAGATAACTGTGGCCATTAGCATTGAGTACACAGTCTCTTGAGCCTTAATATGTTATCCCCTAAGATTGCCAAAAACTTTTACAAGATTTTTTTTTGTTTTATAGTGTACTAGCTAACTTTTTTATATTTGTTTGGTTGGTTTGTTTGATTTTTTTAAGACAGGGTTTCTCTGTGTGACAGCGCCCTGGCTGTCCTGGACTTGCTCTATAGATCACAATGGCCTCTACCTCCTGACTGCTGGGATTACAGGCCTGTGCCACCTTGCCTGGCATAGCTGACTTTTATTAAACTTTTAACTGTGTACTAGACATTTAATCTCCTTTTATATGTATCATAACTTAACCTTCAGCACAATCATAGTTAGATGGGTTTTCTATTTTTATTTATGGTTCTTGGGGTCAGACCTGTGGTCTTTTGCTCGTCCACAAGCGCTGTGCCTTGGAGCCACATCTCCAGCTCTAAACTTTGTTTGTTTGTTTTTTGGAGACAGGATCTTACATATAGCCAAGATAACCTTGAGCTTTTGATCCTCCTGCTTCTGCCCCCCAAGTACAGGAACTGCGCATGTTCACCACAGTGCCCAGCTTCTAAATGTGCTCTTAAGCACTTTCTGAGGAACATGCGGCTGAGGTAAACAGACCTTTTCTAAAGTACTCTTCAGGAACTTTTTCCTCAAGTATTTAGTTTGGGCCATGTACCACAGTGATGATAAGCAGAGCACTGGAGTTGTGAGGGTTATAAAGTACTTCGACCAGTCAAAGGAAGGGTTATATCCTTTTTGAAGAGGCTGATTTTTTTTTTTTTTTAGAAAAAATATAACTATAAACAGTTATGGGGAGTTCATGTAATTGGAATTGTATGTTATTTGATTAATATGTCATACATTAATTCTTGAAGAAAAAAAATCTGCCCCCAGACTGAAAACAGTTCTCAAACTAGTTTTGTTGGTACTTGCCCACTGCATGTTGCATAATCAAGCATGAGACCGTTTTATATTCATGTGTTGGTGTCAGGCTTGATAACGGTGCTACACCAAGTGTGTTGCCATTCCAAGTATATAACCCAGCCTGTCCACATCCGTGATTCCATGCTCTGATAGTTTCAAGTGAAGCATGCTTACATGGTAAATTTAAAAATCAAAACATGTTGACTTGCTACGTCTTAGTTTGTAATTAATTAACAAATTCAAATGTAAAGTGATATCAGCAATCAATAATGTATGTTGTGCTTAGATAGTTTTCTTTCTTTAAGCGTTTTTTATTTGTATACTATGTATACTTTTATTTGTATACCTGAATGTCTATCTGTGGACTGTACATGTGTGCCTGAGGAGAAGGGAGAGGGTACCAGATTGCCCCGGGACTGGAATTGCAGATGGTTGTTAGCTGCCGTGTTGGTGGATCCTCAGGAAGAGCAGCCAGTTCTTAAAAGCCACTAAGCCATCTTCAGCCCCAGTGTTTCTTTTCTATAATGAGAAAGTGTTGTATTAGGCGTTATAATATTTACTATTGATACATCTTTTAGTAAAGCTGCAGTTAATCCTAAACAGCTGTATAACCAAATCACCACACAGAGACTAGGATTTATTTAATTAACCTAGAGCACAATGCTGGGCAATAGTTACTCTATCCTAAACCTTCAAGCCCATGTTTCCTACCATTCAGAGTTTACCCATTATATACTTGCTTTTCATGCTATCTTAGGTCCGGTTCATTTCTCCATGTCGTTCCAAGACCTCTCCTCTAGCCTCACCTCTCCCAGCTTCTGTTCCTTTCCTCTGGCTCCTCTCCTCTCCTTCTTACTCCTTCCTCTCCATTGCTCAACATTGTGGCTGGTTGTTTAATTTTGGCACGTTTACACAAAGTTGAGACAGGTGATACTTAGAATGAGTATCACAGTGCAATGCCTGGATTGACACCAGAGAGTAGGAGAGAGAAATTAGCATTTGAATGAACAAGGGTAAGGTGTATACATTCCAAAAGAACATTATACCAACAAGAAAGGCTACTAAAATGTAGCTTACAGTTTTTGAAAATTAATCACGAGAAAGGTGGTCTCATGTGAATGAATATGAATCCAATCCTTCATTCTCGGAAGCAGTGCATTAAAGATAACCACTTGGTAACTCATGCACTATGTCCGGTGCCTGGGGAGGAGGCAGAGGGAACCCCGAGTGACCGCTGAGCCCTGTTAACATGGCAGGAAGAACCCCAGAACATCAGACTAATGGGAGAATAGCGACGCCTTCCTTGGACTGAGTGCAGAGTTCACAGTGTGCAGTGTCCACCACAGCTGCCTCTGCAGACGCTTACAGGGGGTGCGGCAGTCAAGTTCTAATAGTGAATGAAATGTGTCAGTGGTATTTCTCTCCGTTCTCTAGGCCTTAAGATCTTTTTGTTGTTGTTTGTTTATTGGTTTTATTTTGGACTTTTGAAACAGGATTACAATTGTATACCACTATTCCTTGCTAAATCCTAAAAAAAAAAAAAAAAAAAAAAAAAAAAATCACTATTCAGTTACATTAGAAAATGTTTTTTGGGCTCAGAGGTTAAGAGCACTGGCTGCTCTTCCAGAGGTCCTGAGTTCAATTCCCAGAAACCACGTGGTGGCTCACAACCATCTATAGTGAGATCTGGTGCCCTCTTCTGTGTGCAGGTGTACATGCAGGCAGGATATTGAATAAATAATAAATAAATAAATCTTAGAAATGTTTTCATAATGATTCTTTGTTTTAGCAGACAGTCCCGTTCTTAGACTAATAACATGACAGTAAAGTAGGATTTTTTTCTATTTATAACTTGTTATAGCTAGGATCTGGTGTGTTTCTTTAATGTTTTAAGTATATGGTTAAAGTATAGAAACATAGCAGAGAGAGGCAGTGTTGTTTATGTTGTAGCTCAAGAATTGTTCCTCATCTTCAGACTGCGCCAGCCTGATGAAGAAGTGTGTGCAGTGCCGGGCAGTGGTTGAACGAAGGGTGCCGTTCATTATGTGCTGCGGAGGGAAGAGCACAGAAGAGCCCCCGGATGACATCTGTGAGTGTCTGCTCCGAGAGCTGTCTTAGTTGGCTTTCTGGTTGGGTATGTCTCCCACTATACTGTCTGGTGCCTTGCTCAACCTAACATATGTGAGTGGGATTGACAGAGGGACAGGTATGTTATTGGTGCTTTTGCTCGTTATAGGAAATATAAAATTAGAGTTTTACTTAGTTCATGGTATGCTTATAGACTTTCACATGTGTATGTATGTATGTGAGTATATGCATGCTTGCAGATGTATATGGTTATACTTCTTCATGGAAGGATGTGGAAATCACAGGACAACTCTGGATTGGTTCTGTCCTTCAGCCTTTACATAGGTTGTGGGGATCTAGGTTTCTGGGGCAAACCACCACAGTCAGTGAGCCGGCTCAGCAGGTAAAGAGCTTCGTGTAAGCCTGATACCTTGATTCAGTCCCTGGAGCTTGTGTAAAGGTGATGGAAAATGGTTCTTTTGATTCTGGTTTTATAAACATGTTTTGTACTGATGAAGAAGAAATTGCCATATACACCCCTGCCCAAAGCTGTGGTCATTTTCATAAATAGAGAAGAATAAAATTAGCTGGGCGCATTGGAGCATACCTGTAATCCCAGCACTCCATGAGACAGAGGCAGGTGGATCGCTGTGATTTCAAGGACAGCCTTGTCTACAAAGCAAGCACCATGTCTTGAAAAACAAAGCAACAGCAACAACAAAAAACACAAAACAAAAAGATTAAAATTCTCAGGCATGGGTGTTAGCTGGAATAAAAGTCCCAGGATGTACTGAGCAGGGCATGTAAAATCAGAGAGCTCTTATCACAGCCTTCTGAACTTTTCAGATCAGATCATTAACAATAAAGAAATCTTGACATAAAAAAGGAGGGTCAGGCTTGGGTGGCTCATACCTCCAATCCCATTGCTCGAGTACCCCTCTCCTCCTGATCCACTCCACTCCTCCTCCATTTCCCTTCAGAAAAAAGAAGCCTTCCTAGGTAAATCAACCAAACATGGCAGAACAAGTTACAGTAAGACTAGGCACAGACCGCCTCCAAGGCTGGACCAGGCAACCGAGTAGGGGAAAAAGGGTCCCAAGAATAGGTGCAAGAGTCAGAGACACATCCCACTCTGACTGTTAGGAGTCCCACAAGAACACCAAGCTACACAGAGATAACATATGCAGAGGACCTAGCTCATACCTCTTCAAGCTCTGATTGTTGCTTCAGATTCTGTGAGCCCCAATGAGCCCTGCTTAGTTGATTCTGTGAGTATTCCTGTGGTGGTCTCAGTCCCCCTGGATCCTAAAATCTTTCGTCTTCCTTTTGCATGGGGTTCTCTGAGCTCTAACGTTTGGCTGTGGGTCTTTTATGTGCTCTGGAGTGTGCCTTTAATCCTAGCACATGGAAGACAAAGGCAGGCAGCTCTCTGAGTTTAAGGGCCAGCATACTCTATGTAGAGAATTCCAGGCCAAATGTGAACAGTTGTCACCACTATTGTTCATCCAAGCATGGTGGGTGCTACCTGTAATTGGAACACTTGGAAGTGGGAGGATCAGGAGTTGATGGCCAGTTTTGGCTACATAGTGAGTTCAGGTTGAGTTTGGACAATGTGAACTCTGTCTAGAAAGAAAGAACAAAAGGAAGAGAGGGAAGGAACTTTTTTAAGTCATCTAAGGAGACTTCTGTAGTAGCTACTTTGCTCCGGTTCTAGTGGCCCATGAGCAGAGAAAAGGCGTGTGCATGTTTCAAGCTTGCCAGAGGAAGCAGGTAGCCTTGCAAAACCCAGAAGTTCTTTTTTGCCACAAACCTCTTTCCCCACCTCCACCTTGTTTTTTTTTTTTTTTTTTTTTTTCCTTTTTTTTTTTCTTTTGGACAGGATCTTTCTCTGTAGCCTAGACTAACCCTGACCTAATGGTAGCACCCCTCCCCGGAGTCTTTTGAGTGCTATAGTTGCAATCATGCATCATCATCCCTCGCTTCCTCTGTTTAGTTTTTAAAAATTATTGTAAAGTTATGTATGTGTATATGTGTGTGCTTATGCAGGTGCCCACAGAGGCCCTGGAACTGGAGATACAAGTGGTTGTGAGTCATCCGATATGGGTGCTGAGAACTAAACTCTGGTTCTCTACAAGAACATCATGTGCTCTTAGCCACTGAGCACTCTTTCTAGCCCCCCAAATTGGTTTTCCCTTGAAGATTATAAATGAATGTTATCTGGATGTCACTACTATATCTTTCATCTCTCAGTGTGCAAAAACTGTTTTGAAGATGACCCTAAGACTAGTGTTAGCCTCCTTCACCCCTTTCTTCTGTTGTAAAGCTTGTAGAACTAACCCAGCCTTGCATGTGGCATGCAGGCATTCTACCACCAAGTATCGTCGGCTCCACAGTTCTGTTTTGAAGAATTACAAGTATAGAAATGAATCATTATGTCAAACAGTAATAACTAGAAAGGCTTTTCTTGAATTCTGTTCTAGCGAGTGGGAATATCGCAGCGCTGCAGAAGGACAAAGACAACACCAATGTCAACGCAGACGTGCAGAAGCTACAGCAGCAGCTGCAGGACATCAAGGAGCAGGTAAAGAGTGCACCCTGCCACCCAGCGCTGCTTACCGTGCCGCTTACTGAGCTCTGCCCATCTGTGGCCTTCTCTAGTAGGCACGGTTTGTGGTAGCAGCTCACTTGCAGTGTTCAGGCGAAGCAATGCCTAGGATCTGACTACAGGCTTTAGTCAGACAGTTTTCAAGACATGAAACAGACACCAATAAACATGGCTGAGGAGAAAACCTGAGGACCACCATGAGGGGCCTCTCCGGCCTGCTGTTGGAGGAGTGTGGAGAGGAGTGGAAGGCAGCGTGTGCAGCCACAGAGTCCTACCCTGCTGCTGAGACGAGCTGCTGCAGTTAAAGCTACTTGAGCGTGACAAACCTGAGCAGGATGTTGCTTGGGATGACAGACCTGGGAAGTCACAGTGTGTAGAGGCCGGGTGGCGATTTTCTCTGCCATGTTGATGCAAGGGGATGTTTCTAGAGCCTGCTACAGGAGTCTGGTCAGGTTGTGGACGTCTGTGGCCTGTGTACATTTCTGTATGGATATACTTTGAAGAACATAAAAATATGTTTATATATGTGGGGCTTATGAGAACCACTGTAGTAGAGGGCGGCCATGGTGACTCACAACCAGGTGAAACTAATTTAAAACCGAGTGTATATGTTTATCAGTCCTTGTACATATGTCTGAAGAGAGAAAACCTTTTTTATTGAACTGACATAGCATTTAGCAATAATTGTTATATAGTGACTAAGTAAAGATAAATACAGATTTAAAGGGTTTCCCCTCATTTCTCTTCTCCCTTTCCTTTTTCATATGTTTGTGTGTGTGGTGTCTGTACATGTTTGTGTGTGTAGGTGCATATGTGTGCAAGTGTGTGAACATGTGTGTGCACATTTATGTGGAGGCCCAGGGTTGATAGGTCTTTCCTTGATAGCTCTCTGCTATCAAGAGGCAGCTACTCTCCTTTCCATAGGTTCTGGGGGTCTGAACTCTGGTCCTCACTTGCCCAGCAAGTGCCCTTACCTATTTTACCATCTTTTTGGCCCTGTTTGTCTTTAATTTCTAAGTTAGCATACAGATTAATGGGTTTCATGATGGCATTTTTATAAATACATATTATTCTTTGTTCTCATTTGTCACCCTCACGTTCCCACTGATGAACCTGTGTTCCTCTTGCTGGGTGTCCCCTACCCTTCAGCCCCCATTAGGCTTCCTTACTGCTTTTGTGTCTCATGTGTTCCATTTCATTCTTAGTCCCCTGTCTTAATATACCCCTCCCCTTTTATATTCCTCTTTCTGCTTCATGTATAATCAGTGTGGATATGCACATGCATTTGTAGAAATTTAAGTCTAGATTCTGCATGTGGGAAATATGGTGTTTGGCTTTCTGAGGCTGACTTGTTTCATAGAACATGATTTCCAGCGTCTTCCACTTTCCTACCAATATCATGATTCCATTCTTCTTTATGGTTAAATTCCATTTTTATGTACCAGATTTTCTCTCTGTTGATGGACATTAGGCTGTTCCACTTCCTGTGAATGTAGAGGTAGTTACCTGTGATATACTGATACAGGTTCCCAGGCGTGAGATAGCTGGATCTTAGAGTCGTTCTGCTTTTGTTTTTGTGTATTTTTAAAGAATCTTCATACTCATTTCTGTAGAGGTGTTATCAGTTTGTGCCCCCATCAGTGTATCAGGTTTCTCTTTCCCTACACTCTGGCCAGCATTTGGTTCTGTTTTGTTTTTTGACAGCTATTCTGACTTGAGTAAGATGGAAGCAGTTTTAATTTGTATTTCCCTGAAGTTGAATACTTTTTTTCAGATATTTTTTGGCCATATATCTTTTCTTTTGAGAATTGTCTGTTTGATTCATTAAATCATTTGTTGGTTGGATAAATAGTTTTCTTTAATTTTTGGAGTTTTTTATTTTCTATATATTAATCTCCTGTGTAATATGTAGTTGGTAGAAGTTGTTTCTTTTTAATTTTAGTTATTTAATTAGTTATGGGGTATATGTGTTCATGAGTGTGCATGTATGTGTGTATCCATATGTGGAGGCCAAAGGTCATCTTCAGGTGTCATTCTTCAGGTGCTTTATTTATTTGTGTCTTTCCCCCAAAGCACAGGGATGTGATGCCATATGCTGCTTTTTCTGACATGCTGGGGGTCTGATGCTCTCCTAGCAAGCCCTTTTCTGTTGGATCAGTCTCCATAGCTACAATTTGCTCATGATGTGACCGTCTTCCTTTGTAACCGCGGATGGCCTGGAATCTGATGTGTAGTGCAGGCTCTGTTAGACTTGTGGTGGTCCTCCTACCTCTGCTTCCACAGTGCTGGGAGGATGTGTGCTACCAGGACAGACTGCAGGTGGTCTCTTGGTTGACAGCTTTCTTTGCAGGGGCAAGCTTTTTGATTTCATGCAGTCATATTTATTAATGTAGGTGGGAACATATTTATTTGACTCATTCTGACATAAAACAAAGCAGCTTGGGGCTTGGAGGGATGGCTCAGTGGTTAAGAGCTCTTGACTGAGAAATCCTGAGTTCAATTCCCAGCAACCACATGGCAGCTTACTACCAAATGCCCTTTTCTGTCATACATGCACTTGTATACATAAATAAAAAAACAAATAAAACATTTGAAGCTCCCTTCATCTCAGTTTCTTTCCCATGAGACATAGAAAGGTGAAGATGTTTTTGTTTGTGTGTTTTTGTTTTTGTTTTTTTTCATGTGGAATCCAAAAACCAGAAGAGCTGGAGAGATGGCTCAACTGTTCAGAGTGCTGCTGATCTTACAGTGGACCCAAGTTTTCTTCCCAGCCAACAACCATGTCACGTGTTTTATAAAGCATTTATAACTCCAGACCCAGGGGATCTGACACCTTTTTCTGGCCTCAATGGGCACCTGCATGCATGTGGCATACACAAGCATAAATACTAAAATTTAAAAATAAAGATGAAGAAGGGAAGCTATTGGGGAATAAGATAAGTGTGTAATGGGAGGTAAACAGTCTCAAAGTACCTAAGAACACAAGTGAAGATGACACTAAACACTAATGTTTAAAAAGTAGTAACATCAGAAAAACACAATAGTAGTGATTTTACAGTGTGTGTGGCATGTGTGGTGCTGTAGGTCACCCTGGGGCCTCACAGACACTCTCCTCCACTACCCATCAGTGATACATGACAACCCTGTGGCAGGCCATTCATTTCTAGAACTTTTCACCCCAAAGGGTTATTCTTCCTCAGAGTTTCAAACCACTGCAGTTCATCACTAAACGCTTTGACACTTGTAACAAAACTGACTTTTTTAATTTTTATTTTTATATTAATTACAGTTTATTAACTCTGTATCCCAGCTGTAGCCCCCTTCCCTATTCCCTCCCAATCCCACCCTCCCTCCCTCATCTCCTCCTATGCCCCTCCCCCAGTCCAGTGATAGGGGAGGTCCTCCTCCCCTTCCATCTGACCCTAGCCTGTCAGGTCTAACTTTCTATAGAATGGACAGGATTTGTTGATGGAGTCTTCCTTCACGATGATGACAGTCTGAGGAAACATGAATAATTCTCTTTCACTAAATGTCCCAGTCTTTCTATCATGCCCTTGTCAGGACCTGACCTCCCCACCCCTCATCTCACTGTGTAGCTCAAGGCTTTATTTAGCTCCTGATCCTCCTGCCTCGGCAGCGTGCAGGGATTAGGGGTTATAAACCTGGATCATGTAAGCACTGTACTTTAACCATCAAAGTTTAATTCACTTACTACTAATAACATATCACTCTTAGAGAAACAGTAACACAACTGTGTTCTTAGAAATACAAGTTACTAATTACATAGATTTATTTGGGGGGGGTTGTCGCTGAATGGAAGCTAAAACCTCATGAATAAACGCTAGGCAAGCTCTCCACTTTGAACTATATCCCCAGCTTAAGTACTTAGAGTTCTTGAAAAACTTAGTGGAATGAAGCTATTTTAGCGCCACTCAGTGGGTGGACTGACTCTACAAAAATCCAAAAATGTGACACCCCTCCCCCCATTTTCCTTTTTTTGAAACTTCAAAACAGGTAATTGTAACAGTGCACTTGGAAAGGAATATGTTTAGCAATTTACACCACAATTCTTTTTACGTGGTCTGTGATATCACCCTAGTTACCAGCTATACTGCCATAGACTTGAGGCCTCGTTTAGTAATCCAAGTGTTCTTCTTGTTCATTTTATTTCTATGTTGGCAGAGAACAGATTCATAACGAAGTGTTAATTAGAGTGGAATAGGTTTTTATTAGTATAAAGTACGTTTTAGGAATAACGCTTTCAGCTAGAGTGGCTAAAAGCACATACTAAGGCTTGACAGCAGAGTGGTGCTGCACAGTGTGTGAGAGCAAGAACTCAAGCTAGATGTTCCAAGCTGGCGTATCTTGAAGAGGTTTTGAACCATGCTAAGCCTGTTTTTCAAGTGGAAGTGAGTGCTAACAGGAGGGGTCTATTGTATCTAGCATAGTGTCTGGCAAGGCTCTCAGCTGCCTACCTGCTCACCCCTCCAGCGCCACACAAAGGCACCTGGGCACCTGGAGGTGGCAAGTCTGCTCCAGGGGCAGTGGGCTGCTTTCATGCTCTGAGTGTTCTCCTTTGGTGTTTGCATTCTTTCTCTTACATAATAGTTACTTTTAAGATTTAACTGTCATTTAGGTTATATGTGTTTGTATGCAAGAGTTTATGTGCATCTCATAAATGGAGGTCAGATTTCTTGGAACTGTGAGCCAACATGTACATGCTGGGAACCAAACTCAGGTCCTTTGTAAAAGCAGTAAGTATTCCTAGCCTCTGAGGATTTTCTCCAGCCCCATAGTATTTTTATGTATTACCTTTGTACTATTTTGAAAGAATAACTAGTATCTATTTTGTAGGAATGATGTTTTATTATAATAACTATTTTGAACAACTACATTTTAAACTATTTATTTTTAAGCTGACTGTGGTGGCATATACCTTTAATCCCAGCACTTGGGGGGCAGAGACAGGCAAATTGCTTGAGTTTGAGCGCAGCCTGGCCTGCATAGGGAGTTCACCAGCCAAGACTACTACATAACAAGACCTACTTTCAAATTCCCCTCAAAAAACAAAAAGCCAGCTGTGGTGGCACAAGTCTTTAATCTCAGCACTTGGGAGGCAGAGGCAGGCAGATCTCTGTGAGTTCCAGGCCAGCCTGGTCTACAAAGCAAGTCCAAGACAGCCAGGGCTACACAGAGAAACCCTGTCTCGAAAAAGCAAGCCAAAACTGAAAAAAAGTATTTCTGAAAAGTAATAGATTGAGTAAAAGCAGAAGAGAAAGTTAATGAGTTGTCACGTTATACTCAAATACAAAATGGCTCACGTGTACCCATTGTCTCATTGCATTTCAGACAATGTGCCCTGTGTGTTTGGATCGGCTGAAGAACATGATTTTCCTCTGTGGCCACGGGACGTGCCAGCTCTGTGGAGACCGAATGAGTGAATGCCCAATTTGTCGCAAGGCAATTGAACGAAGGATTCTTTTGTACTGATTAAGAAACAGAGTGTTTTGTTATCTCTGAAGTATGTGATCATGGGATCTTAGTAGGTTCTAAAGCTAGTTGGAAGTTTAATCTAATGGGTTAATTTGTAATTTTATAATTTCTTTATTAGGATGTAATTAGACTGTATATGTATCACCATCACAACGAAAACATCATACAGTGTTTGAAATTGCCGGTTGTGTGTGTATATGTCTGTCTGTGTCTATGTTTTCCTCTTAAATCTGGAATATCAAATCCATGGTAATTCATAGAAAATTTGCTTTTGGCTTTGAAGGGGAAAATCCTTTAAGGACCTTCTTTCACATTTGTTCTTATTACATTTTCCTTTTTTAATTTATACATATGTTAAATCTTAGAGCTTGACTTACAAGGTCAATATTCAGTCATGATTTCATGATTATCATGATTTTACATGGTAAAATGACACAGCTATTCCAAAAAGTCATACCTTTGGTGAGAGTGAGGCGAGTCAAACCGTGTCACATGTTTTAAATGATAAACATATAGTAGAGGTGCCACATGGCTGAGGCAGTACTGAAGGAAAGATTTATTTCAAGACAATTAAAAGTTATCCAAATGATTGTTTCTGAATTTTTAAGTAAGTGGAAGTATGGGCTAAGAGAATAATGGCTTTACCTTATTTTCTATACTTAAAAGGAAAATTAAGTAAATGACTGATTTCAAAATCACCAGTAGACATGAAAAGAAAAGGCAGAATTCTAGTGAGGACCACAGGGTAGCCCAGGACGATGTGGGCACACCTCCTGCCTGACTGTTGCCACTGCGCTTCCTGTACTAACTCGTCACTGTTTGGATCACGGTGTATAGAAAAAGATCTGTGAGAAGTAATTTCCGTTTTGTCCAGTGACAGCTGACCGAGGCTTGATCTAGTCAGTGTGGGCACACCACCCTGTTGGTGCCTCTGAGGTCTGCTCAGCAGGGTGGTGCATTATTAGAGGCAGCCGTCTCTGTGCGTCTGTTCATTCTGACAGTGTTACAGAGCCTCCCTCCATCAAAGCCCTACTTCCATTCTTCCTAAGACAGTCATTTTTACTCTAAAGAATGTAGTTTTTCTTTATACCTATAGATGAACACTCTTTAAGCTGCCAACATTAATTCAGATGTACTTACTAAATAGCTTAGTGTCAGATAGTTACTTAGGAAAGGGTGCGGGGACATTTGTGGAAAAGCGTGTAATTACATGTTGACTTGGTTAGGGGGCTATGCATTTTATCTCCTTTAAAAGAGTAATCTTTGTATCTAGCATAAATATATGCAGAAGTGTTTTGAGATTCCTCACTGCTAGATTATAAGAAATATCAGCTGTTTACAATAGTGTCTACAATGTACTGTATATAAGCTTAAGTATAGTGTTCTTTGGGGAGAGTTTCCCCCACATTTGAATCTGGCCAGCTTGTTTCTGTTTTTCTCCCGTAGCAACTAAATGTGGGAGAGCAGTGTCTAGTCTGGTGGCCCTGTGTTGCTGGTGATTTACCTGCTGCCAACTTTGCCAGGCCTCGTTGTGAGATGTGCTGGCTGCATTGCAGACTCAGCAGTTCTAAATACACCCTTAGCTGAGTAACTGATGTATTTTTCTTTTGTGTTTTTGAGATAGAGTCTCACTATGTATTCCAAGCTGGCCTGGACCTTATGTGGCTCAGGCTGGCCTCAACCTCGTGATCTTCCTGCCTCTACCTTCCAATTGTGGGATTATAGGATGAGGACCCCACCACATCCAGCAACTGTTAGTCATTTTGAATAGTTGAGTCTTTATCAATTTCAAATTAGAGATGGTATGCTGTTGAGACTCGTTAGCCATGTAGTAAGGAGCCAGTGAGGCTATTTTCTAAGTATAATTTGAAGTTAAAAAGATACATCTGATGATAGGATGTTTACACAAAGAGACAGACTGTCTTTTTACAGACTTGGAAATAGCCAAAGTGAGGATCTTTTCTTCCTTACCACAGGCTGCCCAACTCTTTTCTGCTCACCAGCAGTCAAGGAGGGATGGCTGCTGCACGGTCTGCCGGTCCAAGAACCTGTGGGCCACGCTGCATCTGTCTTAAGTCCCTTTTCTCTGTCTCCCGAGCTACAGTGCTAAATCTTATGCCTGTAAAGCTCGTGTCTGTACGGGGAGAGACGTGAGCAGCTCCATCATCTGTCTCCTCCATGGTAGAGCACAGCACACTAACTTCTGTGAAAGAAGCCGTAAAGCCTCCGTAGTGCTGGGGACTTGCGGTTTTCTCTTTTGTCACTTGGCCGTTTATGTTATGGATAGGAGATGCTCTTCTCTCCAGATCTCCAGGAACCTAAAATTATTGGAAATTTATTTTGGGTTTAATGGAGACAATAAGACCAAGAACTGATTCATGCCAGTGACAATCCTTCACTCTCTGAAACTGCTACCTCTTAGTCTCTTCGCAGTGCTTGGCCCCTTGGGTATCTTTCCTTCTTGTTACCCAAACTGTGTTTTCTGTGCCTCAGAAGAAATATTACTTCCCTTAGAATTATTTGTACATGACGTGCATTTATTTTTTAAAGTATTGGGCTTCAGGGGCTCCATGGGGGAGAGGTCAGCACATTGGTACACTCAGTTTATGTTGCAGTTGGACATATGCAGTTGTTTATGGACAAAAGAACAGGACCTTGAGACACCGCTCGCACTCCTAGCTACTGTTTCAGGAGAGCTGTGGGGAGCAGTGTTTGTGTTCTCTTTCTGTACCCTCACCCCACCGCATCTTCTCCTGCATTCAACTAAGACTGTCATCTTTCTCACTCTAAAGATACACAACTTGCCAGGCGGCGGTGCTAGCACGATTGCACTTGTTCACATAGTTTAACATTCTTACTGTGCTGTATACATACATGATTTTACCGGGAGCAAGGTTTTCAAGAGAAGATAATTTTATATTAATTAGTTTAAGAATATTGTACTAGGCAAGTATTTAGTTTAGTTGCTTGAATTATGCTTAAGGTATTTGTAATTTAATAATGGCAGATTAACCAGAAGTCTACTGAAATGTAAAATTAACTGGAAATAACTTTTTAAATTTATATTTTTGATGATTTTAGCCTGGAAAAAACATTTTATTTTAGAATATTGAAAATGCATGCTACTTAAGATTTGTCTAGTTCAAAATTTAAACCTTGCTGGGTCACTTTTACACATAGGAACATCCTGGGTAATCATGTGTTGCCTGATTGATGTTCTTGTTTATTTTGAATTCTGGACACTTTTTGGACTAGGAATAGTTAAACTTGTGAACTAGGATAATGCTGGGTGGAGCAGAGTGGGTTTGGGACATTGGGGCTGCAACAAATAGGAAACAAAAACAATTAGCACAGATGAAAGGAGCATTGTGTAGGATTTGCCACGGTGTTAGTGGAAAGGGCATATTTAATTACAGAATAAAAAGGGTGATTAGGTCAGCTTTTCATATGGCTTGTCAGTTGTTTGGTAAATTACAGATTTTAGCACAGCTTGCTTTTTAAGGTCCAAAAGGAAAAGCACTTATTCTTTCAGAGTGTCTGAAGTGTTTATAGTAATAATTTGTGTAAAAAACTGATGGCTTACATGTTTGTTTGTTTGTTTGTTTGTTTGTTTGTTTATTGCAATGAAAACCACATACCATAAAGTTTGTCATTCTGACTGCTTCTAAATGTTCCACTTTCTTTGTTGGGAAACAAGCATGGACTTTATTCTGCACAGTTGAAATGCTGCATCCATCAAATACTCCCTTCTTTCCTCCCTCCGTGCAGCAGGGCTCTGACTCCATAGAAAGCAAGCACTCAAATTACTAAGTAGAGTCATTTGTGTTTGCAAGATCCAAACCTAGGTAGACATTAGGTTCCTGAAATTTGAGGGAAGGGCGTCTCTCCCCTGACATAATTGTTATTTTTATGTGTATATTAATTGAAAGTGTTTATTTTTTGCTTTAAGGGGGAAAACACATTTTAAATATGAGAAATAAGTTGGCTTTGGTTTTCTGCTATACTGGGAAGGTAATAGATTTTTCACAAGTAATTTGTGCCTTGTTATAAACGTCAGCTGTCATTGAGTCTAACTGTCAAAGTCTCAGAATACCTTTTCTTTTAAAATGGCGACCTAATTCAGCTTGCTATACAATAGGAATGCTTGCTGATCCTACTTGATAATCATGTATATCCTTTTGACTTATACATGCATGCACACAAACGCGTGCACAGTAGCAGTATTGATGATTACAGTTGTATGTCCTTAAACATTAATGTGAGGAAGCTCTTAGTGTTGTCTCGTGTATTGTTGCTTTACTGCAGTGAGGGAGAAATCCTTTGCACCGAGCTTCAGTGGCCGATAAGTTGGTAGCAGTGCGTAAAACTACAGTGTAAAAATAGGAGTGGGTAGTTAAAAGAGTTAAGTTGCTACTTTGGCATTTTCTACCTCCTTTTCTACCAGAATATTGCTTTTCTTTCCCCTTTATAGCATCATGTCTTATTTGTGAGTGAAAAAGAAACAACCTGAGGTTAAAGTTAAGATTTTCTTTCTCTCTCTCTCTCTTTCTTTCTTTCTTTTTTTTTTTTTTTTTTTTTGAGAATTTAAGCAATAGAGGTACAGGAAAAGTGACCTGTCACATTAATTTGGTGCCTAAATCTAAAAGATTGAATTGATATGTACAAACTGTCTAAGAAGGATAGTAGTACTGAGTATTTGGATTGTCCTGTATTGATTTTATTTCATAAACATGACTTCTTTTCTCAAAAGCAAAGTGGTTTTCTAATTTTTTATGAAATAAGCAAATATGCCATTTTGTCTGAGTACAGTTTCAGGAAGCTATTGAAAGTTCTGACTCAGGGCTTTTTAACAGTTTAAGCAATTGTTAATATATTTTGGAAACTCCATCTGCATAATTCTTCAGTGCCTTGAAAGAATTATTAACTTGGCAACACTTAAAATCGTAGAGGCAACCTTCAACGCACCGGGTTGTGATATGCACCTTCCGAATCACACTGCTAAGCATTGCAAGAACAGCTATTTGGGTGCTGGGTTTGCACAGTCTTTAAGGGAAGTGTTGTACAGTTGCACTTGACACTTGGCTTTTGATTCTGTTTTTGTAAAACTGATTATACAAGGCCATGGCACTGTTACCAGAAATGTGGTGTTTGCTGTCATTTATGCAAATCACCTTAAATAGCTGCTGTTGGGAGGACAGAGCTCACACACTTGTGTCTGAAAGAGGATCAGTTCGGGAAACAGATCATCTTCCTCTCAAGTGGAAACCAAACCAAGCCAAACCCTTAGTTTAAGTGGTTCAGTTAATTAATTAGTTAAAAGGAAATCATGAATTGCATGTCATTCTTAATGCTGATCTATAGACTAAATGCACGTTTTTCTGTCTCCTTCAATACATGTCTGCTATTCTAAGTACAGTATATTCAAGTGGTAGAAAAAAGGTTGACTCAAGTGTTTTGCTTTGTAATTTTTCCAGTTCTTTTAGCTTTCAATGTTGGAATATGTTTAAGTCTTGTTTATGGATAAGTTTCTGTATGGAAAAATAATTTTTGCTTATTAGCTTTTGTTAAAAAAAAAAGCTTGGTAAAGACTAAGCTTTTTAAAATAAATGCAAACATTTACCATTAATAAAAACTGGCGTATTCTTTTCTCTTGATTTTTTGGAAGCGATACTTTATAGTAATATAAATGAATTTTTTTTTTAAAAGCATTTGGAAGCAAATATCAGTTCATCAAAACATAATCTTGTTTTGGAAAGAAAATTACCCTATCGTTGAGAAACATGAACATGTCTCTCCAACTCAACAGAAGAACTAAGCATCCCATGTAGAAGGCTCTCGCTGTGCATGCTCACATGTCAGGGGCTTGCGGTGTGCGCGCTCACATGTCAGGGGCCTCTGTCCAAGGCCGAAAGACACTCTCCTGTCTTAGCACCTGCTCTTTCAGGGTTAAAAGCTGGACCTGCAAAGTAGCCTAAGTAAAATAGGATTGATCAAAGACCAAGGACTCAGCCTTTCTCTCTATCTGTATATCTATATATAGGTATATATAATTTTTTTTTTTTAATGCCTATTCCCAGGGCTGGAGAGATGGCTCAGTTTTTAAGATGCTGTATTGCTGTATGCTCTTCCAAATGGACCTGGGTTCAATTCCCAGCAGCTCACAACTGTCTGTAACCCCAATCCAAGGGGGATCTGATACCTTCACACTCGTGCACATAAAATAAAAATTAAGTAAAAAAGGGATCTTTTCACTTCAAATTAAAAAATGTCTATTCCTCTTCAGAAGACAGATACGTGTGTGTGTATGTGTGTGTGTGTGTGTGTGTATGTGTGTATACATATTTAGAAAGTAGATATTATACAATAGTGATGTATCTCTCCTTTCAGTGTTAAATAGTTTGGGGATATTTTATTTTTAAAGTTGCTAAACACACTTGTTTGTGAAGTTATTGAGAGGTTTTCTAATTCTAGCTTAAAAGATGCATATCCCAAATATCTAAGAGAAAATATCCCAAAACAGAATCTTTCGTTTAATTGCTAAAAGCATGTGTGTTCCAACTTTAAACTGTGAGTTTGCTTTTGATAATGTCTAATTGTATTTTGTGTTTGTTTCTGTTACTGTAAGGAGATATCTCATATTTTTATTAAACTGAAACTACATAGGTTTAAAAATAAAGACATTTTAGAAAATGTGCGTTATACCTTTATCATTGAGAGTTATTCAACCTTTACAGAGGCTAGATTTCACTAATATTTTATAGCACAGCATTTCTGGAACTTCTGATAATTCTTTTTAGAGCATCATTAGATGTTGAGAAGATGCAGTAAAGCATGAGATCAGTGGAAAGCCAAAGTAATTTTTGTAGAGTTAGCATTTGGCGAGTAGCTTCCTCGTTTACCACCAAAATAATAATTGATGAGCTCTCTTTAATTTCTTGAGAAATGATGATGATGATGGATGTAGTAAGTAAGACAAGACCTGCAACAGAGACCATCAGTGAGTGGGTAAGGTTTCAAGGTGACTGGTTGGTGAAACTGCTAATGGAGAAACTTTGGTGTGCTCTTGATAGACCCTTGCATTTACAGGACAACTTTCTAAATGGTAGAATTTTAAAACAATGTAAATGCTTTTTAAATTTTTCTTCTCTCATTAATCAGTGTTAATACTGATCAGAACACTAACAAACAGTTTAGTAAGTGCTGTTATGGGTGAAGTTAACCCTGGCTTAATAAAGACAACTAGCAGGGTGAGCCTTTACTTTTTGACAATACTCACAGGCAAACCATTTCTAGAAAAACTCAAGAGACTCACAGCCTGCTGAGACACTCACTCCTGTGAGAGTCAGTACTGAGAACTGTGGTGGGTTAATTACTACCAGTTTGGTGTGGACCAATCTAAGAGGTGGAAATTCAAGAGCAGTTCCCAAATGGTTGAGCCTAAGGCACCATCAGTTCTTACTTGAGTGGTAGAGCCCTTGACTGAAATGTGTGAACCCAGGTTCAGTCCCCAGCAGGGAGAAAAGAAACAAAAGAGACAATACAGCGTCAGTGAACCGAGTAACTAGTAACTCACTACCAGCAGCAGAGTGCATGTAATTTGCAGGCTCACGTGGACATTTAGTAAAGAAGGTGATATTTGAGGCCTTCGCATATACTTAAAGATTCTTAAAAGAATGACACACGTTCTCTCAGATCAGAATGGAATTAAACTAGAAGTCTAGGGAAATGGTTAAAAAAATTGTAGTCATTAAGTTTTTGGTGACTAAGCCACACATTTGGAAGTAACGCAGAGTTCAAGGAAATAGTAGTGAAGGTTGATTGGGATACTGGGAATGGTAGCTTATACTTGTATTCATAGAATTTAGGAGGTGGAAGCAAAGAATCACAAGTTAAATGCTGGCCAGGAGGTGACACACAGGCCGTGGTGAAAGCAGTCCCTGCAGGGAAGCTGGCGGCACTGACAACAGTGGGAAAGACCAAAACTTACCAAGGCTCCTCCTCAGGAGGCTGAAAGAAGAACAAGTTAATCAAGAGAAAAATTTGAGCAGAAATTGGAAGGGGGGGAAACTAAATCAAAATTATAAATAGGAATTTACTGGAGGAAAATTAATAATAAGAACTAGGCCCTGAAATGATCAACAAAGAGATTAGCTATGTTAAATAGGCAATTAAGAGACAGGGAGGGATTGGGGGGCTGGAGAGACTCAGAGGTTAAGAGCACTCACTGGCTGTTCTTCCAGAAGTCCTGAGTTCAATTCCCAGCAACCACAGGGTGGCTCACAAGCTCTATAATGAGTTCTGGTGTTCAGGTGTACATGCAGGCAGAACATCATTTACATAACAAAATCAATAAAGCTTTAAAAAAAAAAAAAAAGGGATTACTGACACCAGAAATAAACACCATGCCATCACTGTAGACCTCACGGACACTACACGAAAGTCAGTCATGGGACGTACTTATATGTTCCTGGCATGCGCATAATAGAGGCAGAAGGGCATCTTCAACTGCATAGTGAGTTCAAGCCCAACTGAGCTACACGAGGCACAGTTTAAAAAGAACATTATGAACAACTCTGTCCCTGGATGGATTTCTTAATTCTTGCCTCATCTCATGTACTTACTTTTACCACTTAAATGGTTTCATTCCCTGAAAAGTGTTCCCGTCAAGGAGAGCTGGGGATGGTGGATAGCTATCAAAGAAATTGCCTTTAAAATAATTGGCCTTAAAAAAAGTGATAAGAACAGACCACTTCATGCTGAATTTTATGACATGTTTATGGAAGAAATTATGCCATTTACCTACTGTCTCTTCAAAAGATAGAAGCAGAAACAATGCTTCCTAAGAGATGCCAAGTTTATAAGTAAAAAGACAGTATTCCGTAGGGTTTTTTTTTTTTTTCTAGCTTAATCTATGAATGCAAGAAAAATACCCACCAAAACTTATTTTGTGAATATTGACAAAGTGCCATTAAACTTGATGCGGAAGAAGGTTGGGGGATTAATACTCCCTGACTCCAGGATTTAAGATGAGGACAGCTGACATTCCATAATCAGATAGATGCTCACCAGCAGAAGAGTGGACAAAGAAAAACGTTACAATACAACCCAACTATAAAGAAGGAAATGGCATTTGGCAAGAAGTGGATGAAACCTGGAGCTCATAGTCACTCACCGATCCAGACAAATGTTTCAGTGTGATGGTTAATGTGCTCAACGGGACAGGCTCTAGGCTCACCTAGGAGACGTAGCTGTGAGGGATTTCAGCTAGAGTAAGTTGGCCTCCAGCTGTGCCTGTGACGGTGGTCTCCATGAGGGTAGTTGGAGTGGGCTGGGTGGAGCTGCTCCGTGGACAGGATGCTGGATGAAGAGAGGAGACAGCTGTCTGTCTGCAGTGTGAGCAGCTACTCCAGGCTTGGGCCGCATGATCTGACTGCATCTCTGCTATTGACCCAGATAAACCTCTCCCTTGAGCTGCTTTTGCCAGGTATTTATTCTATCACAGGAATCAGGAAAATGTTGGAATTGGTACTGAAAAACAGGCCTGTTGGTATGATAAACCTGGCTGTGGGATTCTTAGGCCCTCGGAACAGGTTTGCAAGAGGACTGTGGGAATTTGAAACTTGGGGCAAGGAAAGCCCTTGAATAATGTGGGCATTGCTTAATGAGCCATTTTGATGGCAGTTTAGAAAACACGAATACTGAGAAGACAGGCAGTGGGAACTTGGCTTCTGAGGGTAAGATCCCACCCA